TAGCCATTCCAAACTGCTTGGCATTATGAACAAGTTGCAGATCAAGTTACTAGGAAAACTCAGTTTTTTTTTTTTTTTTTTTTTTTTTTTTTTTCATTCAAATATATTAATTGAGAGCAACAATATTTGCAATACTCTTTTCTCTGTCTTTCTCCTTTGCTCTTTGTTTATTTTTTTTTTGTTTACTGTTATTCTTTAATGCGGTTAAAAAAAACAAAAAACAAAAAAAAACAAAGAGCCTAAAAGATTCATTGATGAAACTCATTTGCTTGTTCAAGTCACTTAGTTTAAATTACTTTGAATTTCTTTAGAGTTCAAGTTTGGAATAGGATTTAAAAGGAACCGGACAATTTGTCAAGATTCCATCTTAAGTTGAGAAACAAACAACACAAGTTACAAGCATAACCTTATGACTTCCAATTCGCTTTCCAAGGTTTAAACAGTTCATTTCCTTACAATCACCGTAATTTGAGAAACAAAAATTAACAACAAAAGACACAAAAAGTTGATAATTTTTGCAAGGTTTAATCATAAAAAACTTTTTTTTATCTGATAAATTAATCATCAATTACTTCATTTAGTAATCTAAAAAAAAAAAAAAAATCATTCTCTGTCTGAAACTGGTATATGAGAGAGAGAGAGAGAGAGAGAGACTTGCAAGGAGGCTGAAGCCAGAGACAGCACAAAAGGAGATGGCAATGGCAGTGCTAGAGAGAGAGAGTTTGCCCAGATCACCAACCATCATAATGGAAATTATTTTCAAGAAATATTGAGACAAATTCACAGCCACCATTGGTCCTGCTATGTAACCCAATTGCTTCACTTCTTCAACTAAAACATCAAATCTTATTGCACCAGAAAACCCATCTCTATTCTCCTCTCTCTTTTTACAACAATCCCTTCTCCATAGTCTCTCTGTTGTCTCTCATGGTGCTCTCTGGTGTGCCTTTCTCCTTCATGCTATTTTTTTATATATATATAGATATATTGGAATTTGGAGAACTATATATTCTTGTTAGCACGATAAGCAAGAGTTATATGACACTTCCATGTGATCACTTAATATTTCCTTTAAGGAAAAAGAAAAAGTCCCACAAAAATTTTTGCCTTGCCACCAAAGAAAGAGACTATCTACATAAGATTTTTCTTCTAGAAATCTTCCATTCCCATTCCCCACGACACAAAAAGTTGGTCTTCAGTCACAACACTTTTTGGACACGTTTAGGCACAACATCTTTAGGAGACTATTATGTCACTTTTAGTCACAACTTCGTGATTCATTATGTATTTAGTCATAAATTTATCGGCAGAACTGCCTTCCAGCCAGCGGGATTTTAGCAACAGGGTTTTGTTTTGACTAAAAACCTCACTAATACTTAAACATGAATTATTGATTCTGTTACAGTATTTTTATCTTATAAAAAATTTAAATTTTAAGCGTAAAAGTTGAGAATCATATTTTGAGTATATTTTTCAAACGGGTCTTAATTTTTGTGAAGTAAAAAAATTTATGACAAAATGCGTACTAATCATAAGATTGCAAGTAAAAATTATATTTAGTCACACAGAGATATTATGATTAGTACTTATACAAAAACATTTTATGACTGGTCATCATTATTTTTTTAGTGCCATCACCTTTACTATTCACACAAACGTAGCTCAAAATTTTTTACTTATTATGAATAGTAACTGTCGTCCTGAAGCAAAATTATTATGTAAATCAATTAAAGTTATTATTTATATAAAAAACTTATTGTGTAAATAATAACTGTAAATAGTAAATGCTGTGTAAATAGTAACTATAAATAGTGTTGAAAATTTTCTAATAAATAGAGGAGAAGAAAAAAAGTTATGGAACTTGAATTATTATTCATATTGAGTCGGGCATTTAATTTTAGTGCGGTTTACAGATTGCTGGAACTCGCATGTCTCCTTTTAGGTGGTCAAATATTGCAGGAAAAATTTGTCATAATAAATGCCCAAAGACACTAGAAATACCTAAATAAAATAATGCACCTTTCCATTGTTGAGTTATACTGTAAAGTCAGTTCTCGAATATGTACACAAATTAAATCAAACGTTTTTTTTTTTTTTTTTGAGTAGTCAAACACATTAACTTTATAGTAGACGGTGTTTGACATCCACACGTGACTGTGTTAGACGTCGTTGTGGATAAGGATACCGGCACCGATAACAGAATCCTCTGTTCCAGTAAGCACGTCTCGGAGTATAAAAACTTGATGCGACAATGGAAGACCACCGACAACCGAAAAAAGGTCCAACGGGAAGAAAAGGGGATGCAGCTGTCTAGATTTTGTTCACCGGGGATGGGTTTTGACTGAAGAATATGGAAATTTTCAGGAACCCAAGAACGAACGCCAGAGGTTGTCGGATTTTGTTGGCTTTTTGCAGAGTGGAAGCTTCCTCGTGAGTGAGGAAGCAGAGAAACGTGAAGAAAGGGGATGAAGCTCTCTTCAAAATGTTCACCGGGGATGGGTATTTGACTGGAGAAGAAATTTTCAGGAACCACCAAGAACGAGACACGGATTTAAGGGGACCTTGGCTTTTGCAGAGTGGAAGCTTTCTCGTGAGTGGATGCAGAGCAACGTGAAGAAAGGCAAACCAACGGGAAGAAAAATATCAGAAAAAAGAATCCACACTATGCACATTAATTCAAGTAGTTGGGAGTTTGAGGGGGAGTGATATTTCCTAACTCGAATTATTATTCTAATTTCAAATTCCAATTCCCATAAGTGAACACCAATTTCAGCCCAAATTTCAATTGGAGTTGAACGTGCCCTCAAAGCCAACCACAAAGATAATGAGATTAGTATAAAGAAAATAAATCTCACGTGATGGCCACGTGAAATTTTAATAATTTCCTCATGGAAAGCAGAGCTAACTATTTTAGTGAACACGAGGAAAGACTTGACTCCCTCGAAGTTATACAGAAAAAAAGGAAAAGAAAAAGAAAGAATAGCATCCATTTTTCTTCGGTTATGAAGTCCTATTGTTCTATTGTTTACTTTTTTCTTTTTTGAAAATTTTCTATTGTATACTGTAAAAACGTTAAAACGTCAGGAAACAACTAGAACAAGTAAGTCACTTATCATTAACTCTTCCTTATAATTTATTTCCTAAAAATCAATATGCTAAGGGTTTTAGTTTAGCTTTAGTTTTTAGTAGTACGATGTCAACTCTAATCTTAATTTTTCATACTAATTTTCATGTGTTTTCACTGATAGATATGATATTTTATTATTAATTGATATTATCTTTCAAACGATATTTAAAATTAGATTCGGAAATCCATCCTCAAACACTACTTGTTTGGAGCCTTATTTCGAAGAATCTTTTATAAATCTATAGTCGCGTCAATCAAATATGCTCTTGCATCAAATAAGTTAGAAGCTGAAACTTGTTATATATAAGAGAATGAATAGAGCGGAGAGGCTATAAACTTTGCCTCAGGGTTAGTGCTAACTAACCGTAAAAAAATAAACTAACATTGTAGCCTGTACATGAAAAATTAAGGAATTAAAAACATTCAAAACCGTCAGGGGAAAAAAAAAAAAGGATAAAACTTGAAAGTAACTTCAGATGAACAAAAAAAGTTCAAAAACCTCATAAACTACAAAAAAAGGGGAAACCGATGACCGCCTGAAAACGACATAAACCTGAAGGCAGCAATCGTATGTAAACAACAAAAACTTGGTGAACTATTTAGCCGATCAAAATCCACAAAACATGATCAACGATAAAAACTTAGAGAAAGAATAAACTCTCGGAACGACATAAAAAGAGTGAATAGAACTGAAGAACATATTGACTAGAGAGAGGACAAAAAATGATTAACTACAGAGCTTTAAGAACGACAATCGGTCAAAACGACATAAAAGAGGGAAACAAGAACGACGTTAACGCGAGAAACAATAGAAACTTGACGAACTCGGCTAAATGGCAAGATCATCAAAATTACCACATCCAGATATAACGACAATGAAGGAAAACCAACAACCTCATGAAAATGAAATTCAATTGAGAAACGACAAAAACCGTCAAAGTACTATATGATGAAAAAGACGTTCATTTAAGAAATGACAACAGGCTAAGGACAAGAATAATGATAAATGAAAAAAAGAAGGAAAAAGTACAACCATCTAAAAACAACATTCACTTGAGAAGTGGGAAAAAAAAGACAGTAAAATTTCTATGTTTATGAAGACGGATTTGCTTTTGTTTAAAACTAAGTACTGATGCAGCACGAGCCAAGAAGGAGTTGCCGCAACAATAAAACTAAAAAGAAAGAAGGAAAAAAAAAAACAGAAATACTACTCAAAATGATAAAAAATATTATTTATATCACTCTATTTAAAAATAAACAGTTATCATTCAATTAATAAAAAAAAGACGATAATGACACTCAATTATTTAGAACGGTATATATAATAGGCATGCATAAAACCGTAACAAATCATGTATTTTTCTTAAAAAAATAACTATATTTCGCTGTTACATCAGAAAATAACCGCTACAGCCAGATACAAACATAGGGGTGAGGAAAAAAATTAGTTGTTAGCTGTATCGGCGAATTTAAATATCTATAGTAACCACAGTGACTTTACTGGAAATATTTTCGCTGCTAAAATGATATAGCAAAGTTCTCTAAATGTGCTTATAAAAAAAAAAAAAAAAAGTTATCTAAATGTGTGAAACTGATAGGGGTAGTGATGTGTGTCATTTTGCTCGGGAAGTAACTAATCTTTGTCTCTTTCTTTTGATTGGTTTTCTTCTGGAAGAATAATGCCACCTTTTAATTATCAAAAAAAAAAAAAAAAGCCAATGTCCACCTTTTATAACTCCTTTTTGGAGGCTTTTCCCTATGAACAATCTGTGTCAATTTACAACCTTAGCTGAATGAGCACTGCGGGCACCAACTCCTAATGTACAAAGTTGTTATATTTTCATTGGCAAATGTAATTTTTTTGTTATTACTTGATGCAATAATTTTTATCAATAGAAAATGATAACTCAAAGTTCGTACACAAAGTTGGGATTAGAGTTGGTATTCCTAGCAGTTTTTTGGTTGAATACATCAAGAAATAGAAAATGTTGCGGAAAAAAGAGATGGAAAAAGTCACTATTCTTTAGTGGTTAGATGCAAAATTACTTCCTAGCTCCAAATGAAATACAAGAAGCTCAGCATAGAAGAGTTCTCTTCTCAGTCAATCCATTATCTCCTAAATGTCTTCCCTCAAATATCCTCTCCCTTGCCATTATTGCCTGCAATATCATCAAGAAATGCTATCACCACTTTTGCAGCAAAAGATGAAGAACAATTTCATTAAAAAGACACAAACATGACATGTAAAGTTGTGCAAAAAATCGAAAACTTTGTAGAGCTCAAGATGTTATATTTGTAAGTATTTGAACAATCAACTTTTTTATATAGGCAAACAAACTAGTTCACTGGCAGCTTCATCAAATGTGATTGGTTGTAAATTTTGGCTAGCTGGCAAAACCGAAAGAAGTCTTTAAAAGAACCTAAAAGTGGAGGGTGAACCTTCTTTTCCCAGTTGGTAAAAATTGTTATGACAGAAAGCAGAAATGCTTGTACAAAAGCACCAGTTAAAATTCCAATCCAAAGTCCCTTCCCTCTCAAGTCTAACCAGAAGGCCAGCAAGGCGCCGACAGGAAGTCCGAAGAAATAGTATGCGCCAAGGTTGACAATAGCCCCTAAGTCTTGCCAACCACATCCCCTTGCAATGCCTGATTTTGGGAAAAAGGAAAAACAAATATAAGAACTCTTCACTGATGAAGTCATAAGTTTACTTATAATGAGAAATGCGTTAACAATATGAGAGAGATTATAGAAGAAACCTGAAAGGACACCAGGCAGACTGTCAAGTATAACCGAAATACAAACCAAAGGAGCCATGTTGGACACGTAATTCACAACTTCACTCTCGTCGCTGAAGATGTAACCGAAAGAATTTCGGCTTATAAAGAGAATTGAGCTCACAATAACTGCCTCTAAGGCTACAAGAAAAATGACGACGCCAACAGAAAAACGTGCTGCTCGGGGGTTACCAGCGCCTAATGAGTTCGAAACTCTGGTGCTGTAAATGGTGGCAATAGCAAAAATAAATACAAAGATTTTACTAATAAGTGTTTGAAATTGCTTGTTGTCTCTTTAGAGCCAACCTTCCAGCTGCGCCAAGTCCTTCCGGTATTGTATAGAGTGTTGTTATGGTTGACAAGCTGTTTAGAGAAAGCAAAAGTTTGATTCATTTTGACGAACAAAAATGAATATGAAGTCATGAAGTGGTCAAAGATTCAAAATTCAAGAGGTTATGTTTGTTTATATGAAGCAATGGTGATAGAGTAAATACCATACAGATAAGACTGAAGTCTCAAGCTCCGCATTCGGTAGAAAACCGGACAGCAAAATAAGCAACTCAAATGACCACCATTCAAGGCTAGAATTTTGCAATGGGAAATTGCACATAATTAAGAGGACTTTTGCAAAAGGACTTTAAAAGAAACAATTAATTGTAGAATTTGTAAAAATGACTTTTTAAAAAAATTCATGTTTGTAAATTGACTTTGAAATTTATCACTGAGCGATCCCTTTTTACACTATGCGATCAAGCGGGTGGCTCAGTGTAAGAGTGAAATGCCATTTTGCTAATTTCACTTTCTAAAATCATCATTTTATCAAACTTCCCTAATTAAGGGTACTTCTCAAAGACTGAAAGCATAAGAACGAAGAAATAAAAAGACATAGTACCAAACCATCACAGCAGAAGGAATGGCAAACCGCAAGAACTCTCTCAATCCTTGAAATAGCTCCAGAGAAATTGAAATCCGGGTATTTTCACAATCAGGGGAACATTTCATGTATAACACAAGTAAAATAACATTCAACCAATAAGAAATACCAATGGATAATGCTGCTCCAAGATGTCCTAGTCCAGACTTAAATACTAAGAGCCAGCAGAGAGGTACATGGCAACAAATAGAAGCACAAGCGCTCACTAGCAAGGGAATGATAAGGCTTTGTGTCTGAAAATACTTAACCAGTGGTTGAAGTGTTCCATAAGCAAAGAGGGCCGGAATGAGCCAGATCGCGAATTTACCGGCTTCTTGTGAGATTAGAGGGTCTTGGCCCATGAATATGAGGATTTTTTCCGTGTAGATCAGAATTATAGACAAAAGGATACAAGCTAAGCTTAAGCAGAAAATAGCAGTGCTCGTTTGGATTCCAACTTTTCTATATTGATTTGCTCCATATGCTTGCCCACAAAGTGTTTCCAGTGCACTGGCCATTCCAAACTGCTTGGCATTTTGAACAAGTTAGAAATCAAGTTATGAGAGAATGTTAGTCAAAAAAAAAAAAAAAAGAAAAGAAAAGAAAAGTTATTAGAGAATCCCCACTTGAGCTTTTTCAATTCAACCATTTACTGTGTATTCTAGATGTAAAGGGTAAACATAAATCTGTTTTAAGTATAAACTTAGTTATAAATTTATAAGTATATAGAGTCATCCAACTTAACACGTTGACCTTTTAAGATAGAGCCTTGAGCCTTTTACAAAGTCATTTAGAGAGCCATAATATCGACTATACACTTCTCTCTGCCTAAAAATAATATCCTAAAGACTCCTTATTGTAACTCATCGTTTGATTGAACTAATTCCTTAGTGGGGATATGGACATTTAATTTGGTAATTTTTGGGGTTCAAGTGATCAGTGGAATATCATGTAAAAGAATAGGACTAGTTGTTAAGATTCAACAAAAAGTTGCAATCAAAACTCTTTCTTGATTTGCAAATTGCGTTCCAAGGCTAAAAGAATTAATTCAGTTTCTTACAATCACCAAACGAATGAAAAACTATTTTTTTTAATTATAGAAAAACAATTAACAATCTGATATTATAATTATTAGAAGACTCTGGGACTTACAAGGAGACTGAAGCCACAGACAGCACAAAAGGAGATGGCAATGGCAGTGCTAGAGAGAGAGAGCGTGCCCAGATGACCAACCATCATAATGGAAATTATTTGCAAAAAGTAGAGAGACAAATTCACAGCCACCATTGGTCCTGTTATGTAACCCAATTGCTTCACTTCTTCAACTAAAACACTAAAAGTTATTCCACCAAAAAACCCATCGCTCAGTGTCTCGTCTCTTTCTCTTTCTCTTTCTAACAATTCTCTTTCCATGTTCTCTCTGTTGTCTCTCATGGTGCTCTCTAGAATGACTTTCTCATTCATATTATGGTGACTCTCCTCGTTATATATATTGGAGTACAAATGAGGTATGCAAGAGTTTACGGAACTTCCACCAGTGGCGGAGCCGAGATTTTGTTTTAGGCGAGGCATAACCTAAAATGTAAAAAATATTATAAACGCTAATAACATTGACACCTAATACTGTTAACTAGTTAGAAGCACGTTTTACACATGTGTATATTGGTCAGTTCATTGAATCTTTTTTGATACATGAATTAAGATTTTTAAGAGTTTAATTTAAAAAATAATTGAAAAGAAAACGGTGTTCGTTATTTCAACAAGGGCAAATTAGAGAAAAGACATTTATGTGAAAATAGTAATTGAGAGGGTTGTTTGAAAGAAAATGCTTAATTACGATTACATTTGTGAAATCTAATTTTAAAGGGTCATTTAAAATTTTCTTGTGAGGTTCACTTTTGGTATATATATATATATAAAGATAATTTGAAAAAATATACTGGAAGGAACAAATTTGAAAACAAAAAAGTTTTAAGTAGAGTTAATTAAAGAAAACTAATTCAATTATAGGCTACAACAAAAGGTATAAGATTTAATACGAAAAGCTCAAAGAAAAACAACCAGAAAAAACCAAAATGTAGGAAAAAAATATATTTTAGTGGAGAAATTTTGAAATTTTTGTTTATAAGGGTGAAAATTAAAAAAGAAAAATTTTGGACCGGGTGGGGGGTGCGCTAGCATATACCCCGCCGGGCCTTATCTTCCTCCGCTCCTGACTTCCACCATAACAATTTGCTTCATAGATCCGAACCGAAAGTTTAAATTAAGATTTGAATTTTTGTGAAAAAAAATACTGTAACAAAATATAAAAATTGTGGTTAAACCTATAAAAAGAACAGGGCATAAAGCGAGTTGACTGGACAATGGATTATATGAAAGAAAATATTTTTCTTTTCTACCAGCCTTTTCTCTTTCGAAGATATTGATTAATGAAGTACATTATTTATTTATTTATTTATGTTTCTCTGTATTGCATAATGGTGGGAACTCACATATTCAGCACTGCTATGCTCTCTTCTACCTAGATACATCTCTGCCTTTTGTTATAGTTTACACCAAATGCGTTTAGATTCCAAAATAACCCTTCTTTTATTTGCCGACAAAACAAAGGGCCAGTACTCTTCTAGTGAGGAAAAAAAAACCCCCAAAAAAATAGCAAGAAAACAAAAATGTCTCTCTAAGTAGGGGTCAGAAGATAAGCCACTTTTGTCTTGAAAAATCATAATTTTGAAAAATCATGATAAACTTGTTGGGTTTGGATTGGCTTAAATTGGCCTGTTTACTACGAAGTGACAATCATAAACACGATTATTACATGCTTCATTTACAATCCAATTGTACGTTCTAATATAAAAATTTATAGGCGTGTTTTTTTCACAACTCAAACTTTTTTATGTGAGAGAAAGTACTGTTATAAAAAAGTTAAATTTAAATTTTTATAAGAGAAAACACTATATTAAAAATTTTGAGTTGTAAAAAGAACAAGTTGTATATGATAGTAAATAAAACAATATAAATTTTAAATTTAGTGGTTAAATTTCATTTTCTTTTTGAAAGAAAAGAAAAATTGATCAAAGAAACATTATTATTGTATCAAACTTGTCATAATCACGACAAACGAGTCACACTTGTGTCAATTATATTCAATAGGAAAATGATTTTCGGCATAACGTGACACTCTTTAGCTCATGCGGTGTTGTGCGGAGATGCCCAAATAAGATGCTGAATAGTAGGGCCGGTAATATGAGTCACGACACGACAATACGATTCGAAAACGATACGAATTTTGCGGGTTAGGGTTGAGAAAAAAGATATTCAGGTCAGAATTTGATTGATCTGAAATTGACACGAAAAACACGGGTCAATTTCAGGTTGGACCCGCCTAACTCGAATACGACACGAAACTCGTAAAAAGCTAAAAAATACATATATTTTTCATTACATATTTTTTATTTTATTATGAACTTATGATATCATGATACTTATACTAAAAATCTTATATTATCATTTACTTAATTTCAATGGATGTTATTGTATTTTAGTGTGTTATGAATTTTAAGTTATTTCTAATATGTAAAAAACTAAATAAAAATACACAATTTTCGTGTCAATTTCGGGTTCACGGGTCATTTTCGTATCGTGTAATGTCAACCCGTAAAGTGGTCGTGTTGCGGTTTTTAAAAAATTTGGTGTCACGGGTCGTGTTCGGATTGACTGTAAATTTAAAAAGAAACGATCAAAACACGATACGTGACACGAATTGCCATCCCTACTGAATAACAATGCTCATGATAAATGCGTTATACGGTCAGTCGTGTTGAGTGTCAACCCATTTAATAAAAATGTTTGTGTTCATGTTTATATTTTCTTGACACTTCTAATAAATAGATCGCTTTTTATTGATATTTTCTGATAGATTTAAGAAACGGATTGATACAAATATGATCAGTTAACACTTGTCTTGAAAAATCATAATTTTGAAAAATCATGATAAACTTGTTGGTTTGGATTGGCTGAAATTGGCCTGTTTACTGCGACGTGACAATCATAAACACGATTATTACATGCTTCATTTACAATCCAATTGTACATTCTAATATAAAAATTTATAGACGTATTTTTTTCGCAACTCAAACATTTTTATATGAGAGAAAATACTATTATAAAAAAGTTAAATTTAAATTTTTATAAGAGAAAACACTATATTAAAAAATTTGAGTTATAAAAAGAACAAACTATATATGATAGTAAATAAAACAATATGAATTTTAAATTGAGCAGTTAAATTTAATTTTCTTTTTGAAAGAAAAGAAAAATTGATCAAAGAGACATTATTATTGTATCAAACTTGTCATAATCGCGTCAAACGAGTCACACTCGTGTCAATTATATTCAATAGGAAAATGATTTTCGGCATAACGTGACACTCTTTAGCTCATGCGGTATTGTGCAGAGATGTCCAAATAAGATGCTGAATAGTAAGGCCGGTAATATGAGTCACGACACGACAATACGACTTGAAAACGATATGAATTTCGCCGGCTAAGATTGAGAAAAAAGATGTTCATGTCAGAATTGGATCGACCTGAAATTGACACGAAAAACACGGGTCAATTTCGGGTTGGACCCGCCTAACTCGAATACGACACGAAACTCGTAAACAACTAAAAAATACATATATTTTTCATTACATATTTTTGATTTTATTATGAACTTATGATATCATGATCGTTATACTTAAAATCTTATATTATTATTTGCTTAATTTCAATGGATCTTATTGTATTTTAGTGTGTTATGAATTTTAAGTTATTTCTAATATGTAAAAAACTAAATAATAGTACACAATTTTCTTGTCAATTTCAGGTTCACGGGTCAACTTCATATCACAAGTCATTTTCGTATCGTGTTATGTCAACCAGCAAAGTGGTCGTGTTGCGGTTTTTAAAAAATTTCGTGTCACAGGTCGTGTTCGGGTTGACTATAAATTTAGAAAGAAACGATCAAAATACGACACGTGGCATGAATTGCCACCCCTACTGAATAGCAGTGCTCATGATAAATGCGTTATACGGGTCAGTCGTGTTGAGTGTCAACCCATTTAATAAAAATGTTGTGTTCAGGTTTATATTTTCTTGACACTTCTAATAAATAGATCATCTTTTATTGATATTTTCTGACACATTTAATAAACGGGTTGATACAAATATGATCAGTTAACACGAATTACCACATATTCTTATCATTATGTGATTCACTTAGGGAACTCGTTCCAAAATGATTTTATTTTTTGTGTGAAAATAGAAATAAAAACGTTTTCAATCTCAATAGAAATCGTTTTCGAAAATGCATTTGGTAGTTTTATCAAAAGATTGTTTTCAGTATAAAAAAATCCATTAATATCTCTCTTTCTACTCGAGAGAGGAGAAAACGAAAATAAAAAATGAAAAAGACTTTAATCTCTTATCGTTGTGGGCACGTACTCTAGTGAATGCATATTTTATTCCGCACATTGAGACCCGTTTCAAACAATGACCGTGTTTGGAATTGATCCCGTTTTTATTTTTCACGTTTTTAGAGAAAAAATAATGAAAACGTTTTCAAAACGGCGTTTGATGCAATAAAGACAAAAAACGGAAATGAAAACGATTTTTTAGTTTAGTGTAAAATGAGAGAGAAATGAAAAACGATTTTTAATCGTTTTTCATTTTTTGTTTTCGTTTTCCCTCTCTCAAGCGGAAAGAGAGATATTAATGAATTTTTTTACATTGAAACAATCTCTTGATAAAACTATTAAACACATTTTTAAAAATGATTTCTCTCTGAGATTGAAAATGTTTTCATTTTTATTTTCATACAAAAAATAAAATTATTTTAGAACGAGTTCTAAACGCGCCCAATAATTTATTGCTGCCATCGGAATCTGAAAGTAAATCACGTGGTCGACAGTGTATGAAGTTGACTTTCAGGGAACATCAAGAACGAGCAAATTAGCCGATATAGTATATGATATTTATAAAGTTAATATCGACTCTCAGTTAGATGATTTTGAATTAACGAGTGGCAACAAAGTGTCTAACAACATTGAAAACCAAACAAGGAGAAAAGGGAGAAACGACAAGAGCTGAAGACCTGAAAAAATACCATGGAAACAAACAGAACACAATGAACGACAAAGGATGTATAGAACAACAACGAAATGAAAACGACACAAACGTGATAAACGACAGTAACAAGGTGAAACGACAATAAAAACTTATAATAACAATTGAAAGGAAATCCGCAAAATAGAAACGAAGACCTAGTGAAAAAACGATCACAAGAAATAAAAGACATCGACAGCAGCAGAAGAACGAAAATATGCAATTGACAAGCCAAAAATGTTGAAAACGATGATCACATAATTGAAAACGACACCATTAAAAAGAATAAAATAATTGAAACCGACAATAATATGAAATCACAACAAAGTAACTATTTCGTAATCTTATCTACCTCACATAATTTATAGTTCCTGTCCAGTACTGCAGCAGGAAAAATATGGGTGCTAAAAGTTGAAAGCAAAAAAGACGTATTTATGTAAGATAAAAAGTAAGACAATACGTATGTAACCACAATTCACAATGCAATATTAAAAAAAAAAAACAGAGAGAGAGAGAGAAGTCCAATTCAGCTCCCAAAATTAGTTGGAAAAATAGTTTTGCTTATGTGATGGTACACGAAAATTATGTTTATCAGTGTTCTCCACTTCTTTCTTTCGTTATTTCTTTATTTCTTTTCCTTTTTTTTTTCTTTTTTACATACGTAATAAGAAATTGCTTTCCTCCCTTTTTTCTCTTTTTTTTTTCTTTTTTTTTTCTTTTTGTCTACCTTTTTTACATTCTTATCATTTTCCCTATTATACGTTTTCTTTTTTTTTTCTTTTCTGCAAATTAGCCCTCATAACTATACTTTTCTCTTTAATTCCTCGTTTAAATAATTTCTGCTCGTACATATCCCTATCTAGATCTTTTTAAATCATGTTCCCGTGATAAAACGTTTCGTACATGAGGCCTCGTTTGTTTCGCTGATTCGAGTTTAGAATTCGAGTTTTGCTACAGTAAAAAGCTCTCATAAACAATCACATCTAACTTTTTTTGTTACAGTAAAAAGCTCTCACATACAATCACATCTCAACTCAAATTTTAAACTCGAATCAGCAAAACGAACGAAGCCATTCTTTTGTAATTTTTATTCCTTTTTTCTCTTCTCCTTTCTTATTTATTTATTTTTTTTGTCTTCCTCTTTCTTCATTCTTATCCTTTTTGTTCTATTATACATTTCTTCTTTTTTTTTATTGCTCTATATTAAACACTAATAAATATGTTTTTCATTCTTAGCTACCGAATTTCGCGCGCATATGCGCACAGTTTCAACTAGTGGTGTCAATAATAGTTATTCATATTCCCTTTTATATATAATGGTGGTACAAATGGGTACAAATTACATGCGCAAACAAACAAAAACAATATGCAACCACAAAACGGAATGTTATACAAATTTTTAGGCGCCAAAATGGTGACTAGTAGTCCAGTACTATTTCTCTCATATTTCACGCCTATGTTTTCCCGTTATAACCATGCGTAAGAAAAATACGTTCAATTTTTATACAATTCTAATTTAGCTCTTCTCTGTCCCCCGATCCATTTCTCAGAGATCTATACTCAAATATCTTCTCCCTTGCCTTACTTGCCTGAAACATCAAACACACCAAAATACAGCAGTTTTAGCAAATTTTGCAAATTAATTGAAGGTCTATACTTCAAAAAAAAAAAAAAAAAAGTAATATCTGTTTTATAGCTTATATTTTTATGGGGATTATACTCCAACCATCCAAAATCACATTCCTCTTAAATATTAATTCGTACCAATTGGGTTTTTAAGAAACACATAATTAGAATCTTGAAGAAGTACAATATTTGGATATTAGAATTGCAAGCTTAAGTTCTATAATAGATATTTTGTTGATGAAATTAAATTGGGATGGAGAGTAGAAGATTTGAGATAAGATTAGAGGGCAGGCCTGTTTTTCCCAATTTGTAAAGCTTGTTGCAAGAGACAACAGAAGTGTTTGCACAAAAACACCGGAATTTATGCCAATCCAAAGGCCCTGTCCTCTAAGCTTTAACCAGAAACCCAATATTGCAGCTAATGGGATTCCAAAAAGATAAAACGCCCCCAGGTTTATAAAAGCCCCTATATGCTGCCACCCACATCCTCTAGCAACACCTGAAATCAGTACAGTTGAGGGAAATATATATATATATATATAGAATAAAAAAGATACATATTTTCTTGACAAAAATTAGCTAGAAAAGTTATGTAGTGCTAACCTGAAAGAACTCCTTGTAAGCCATCTAGGATAACAGATACACAAACCAGAGGGGCCATTGCTTTGACAAGATCAACAACTTTCTCCTCATTGCTGAAACAGTAACCAAAAACACGACGGCTTGCAAAGAGTGATGTGCTTATTATACTTGTCTCTATGATTGTCAGCAAAATTGCGACAAAGGTAGCGATGCGAGCAGCTTGTGCGTTTCCAGCTCCTAGTTCATTCGAGACTCTCGTGCTGTTGTGAAACAAACGTAGGGAAAAATTAATAAATATGGATGTTTAAGCGATAACTTTGGTTGCATTGCTGCACAATTAATAGGAGAAATGAAAAAAGAAAAAGAGTGGAGCATGCCTTACTGCAGCACTTAGCCCATATGGTATTGTAAATAGTGTTTGAATGGTACTTAGGCTGTTCAATACAATAATTAGAACAATCATATTTTTGTACAAGGGATTGATTCAATTTGAATATTGAGTTACACAGGCTAAATTTTGCAATTTAAAAGAGGGAGAAAAACTCACCATATAGAGAGAGTTGAGGTTTCAAGCTGTGGGTTTGGTAAAAGTCCAGACATCAGAATAAGCAGTTCATATGACCACCCTTCAAGGCTTTGATAATGTCACAAACCGAGAGCAAAAAGATAAGATAAGATGAATATTGAACATTAAAAGAAAAAGTTGAAAAAAAGAAGAATGTGAATGATTGAATGTGACAAATTACCAGGTCATTACAGCTGAAGGGATGGCTAAACGAAAGAACTCTCCAATCCCTTGAAAAAGCTCCATAGAAATTGGAGCCCGAGTTTTTGCACAGGAAGGAGAGAAGTTTATGTACAATACAAGTAAAATCACATTCAACCAATAGGAAATACTTATTGCCAATGCTCCTCCGAGGTTTGCCTTTCCAGACTTGAACACCAAAACCCAACACAGAGCAATGTGAAAGCAAATGGTGGCACAAGAGCTTATGAATATTGGAATTACCAAACTTTGTGTCTGAAAATATCTTATAAGTGGTTGAAGAGTTGCATGGCCAAAAAGAGAAGGAACAAGACAAAATGTGAATCTGCCAGCTTCATGAGAAATAAGAGGGTCTTGACCAATCAAAACAAGTAACTTTCCCATGTAGATCCAAATTAAAGATAAGGGAAGGCAAACCAAGAACAAACAAAATATGGCAGTGTAAGTTTGAAGCCCAAGTTTTTGATATTGCTCAGCTCCATATGCTTGCCCACATATGGTTTCCAGTGCACTAGCCATTCCTAACTGTTTCAGACATATCAAATCATTTTGTTTAGTCAGTGACTGGATTTATAATTTACAACCAAATCCTCTTCTCAAACTTGAATTAGTTCTAACGAGCACAAAATCCCTTCACAAATCCCAAATCCCCAATTACACCCTTTGAGCACTCAATTTCTCAACGAATACATAGGAGAGAATTCTAACAGATCATGAAAAGCCAAAGAAAACTAATCCTAAAATCTGTTCTTTTTATCACATTGAGAAACTTCTTGTTCTATATTTATGTCACTGAACACGGTTATTAGACTTTTATACGTCAATTGAGTAGAATAGATCTTAAGTTTATGTCATTTTGCGCTAGAAATGTAAGCATGACATTATTCGAGTGCCATTTCTGAAATTTTCCCTATTTTTTTTAACCTTTTTGATGACCAGAAAAATTCAAAGCTAAATCTTGATACTAAACCAGATTTTCAAGATGAATTTTCTTGTAATCACATTTTATAAGAAAAATGATTTTTTCTAATTCAATATTTTGAATGATGAAAGTTAGTGATTTCACTTTTCTCACTAAAATATTGATTTAAATTTAACTAAATTTCAGTTGTACGCTTTATCTTAATATGTTCAATTATGATGTCGTAAGGATTTAATTTTTCCTATGTGTGACAAATTTATTCCAAAATGATCTAGTATTAAAATTGGACCCATTAAATTATAATCATGTCAAGTCCAAAGTTAGAATTAAACTAACTATAGTGTGAAGTTTATTAAGTCTTAGTTAACAAGAGTGTTGAAATTAAGGGCTTGTTCTTTTGAGTGAAAAACTCAAAAAAAGGCAACTCAAGTTACAATTTTATTCGAGTTAATGTTTTTTTAAGTTTAAACTCGAGTTTAAACTCGAGTTCAAACTCGAGTTTAGGACTAAAACTCGTGTTTAAAGTTTCTCATTCAACTCGAGTTTAGAAACTCGAACTCAAATTAATGAACAATGGGTCTGTTTGGTAGCATTTCCATTTTCGTTTCTCACATTTTTCGATGTAAAAAATTGAAAACGGAGATAAAAAACGTGTTTGACAAAATTTGTATCAGAAAACAAAAACGAAAATGGCTTTGTTGTTTTCCGGAATTTTGAAAACGGAAAAAAGCTGTTTTCGTTTTCTTGTTTTCATTTTCGGTTTCTTCTTCTTCTTTCTTCATTCTTGATTTCAGTTTTTTTTTTCTTTTCTTCTCTCTCTTCTCCGGCCGAAGAAGAGGCGGGAGATTCGGCGAACACCACCGTCGCTCCTCTCCGACTGGCCGGCCGCCATCTTCTCCGACTGCCCGCCACCGTCTTCTCCGACTGCCCGCCACAACTATTTTCATTCCACAGTAGACAACATATTTCTCATGTTGTCCCCAACAGTACCCTAGTGGATTAGTAAATCCTACAACATCTTCAACACCAAGTCACCAATATATATTTTTTTTTTCACTTCAATCAAATAAATTGAATTCTTTAAGAAGAGGAAGTGAAACTTGTTACCATCAACATTCAACGTCGACGTGGATAAGGAATGCATCTGAAAGTTGGGAACTTAGATTGGACACTTATGAGGAAAATCGTAACACAAGTATACGTTATCATTAACAAAATTGTTATAACCCTCGGGTAGAACTCATCCCCAAAAACTAGTTTGTAGGGAGAGGGTGCCCAAGTGGCTATAAACTCACATGTTAAGCCCATACTTTAACAATGTGGGACTCAACCATGATCCTAACATACTACCACGCTTCCGACACCGACGTCCACGGCGGTCCACTCTGGATGGCCCACTATGGCCTTTCCAAGTCACCCCTCTCCTGGCCGCCCCTCCCCAGGTCGCCCCTTCTGCAACGTAAATCTGAGGAGGAGCATGCTCTGATACCAATTGTTATAACCCTTTGGTAGAACTCATCCCCAAAAGCTAATAAAGCAATGAATAGAGTGTCAATTCCACGAGCATTGCGGTAATTCCAATTAAGTACCGAAATTGGTTAACCTTAAAGTATATTTAAACGACCAAAATTAAGATGAGAAAATAAAATAAACATAAATAAAAAATAAAATAAACAACTTAACAAACTCAAGTTACAAGTTCAACTCAAGTTATAACTCAAATTCAACTCAAGAATTATACTCAAATTAAACTCTAAGAACAAGCCCTAAGTCTAGGAATGCACTTAATTAAGGTGGTAAATGAACAAAAAGTTCAATTGGAGGGCTAGGATTAAATGGAGGTTTAATTAAAGGTGCGGAATATGAGATAGAAAAATAAAAAATAAAAAAAATGGATGGCGGCCGGTTTTGGGAGAGGTAATTATAGGATTTTTTTTTTTTTGCTTCATTAGTTAAAGTGGGAGATTGGATAACAATTAATAAATTGATTATTCAGAAGAAAAAAATTAATAAATTGATTATTCAGAAGAAAAAAATTAATAAATTGATTATTCAGAAGAAAAAAATTAATAAACTGATTATTCAGAAGAAAAAAATTAATAAATTGATTATTCAGAAGAAAAAAATTAATAAATTGATTATGATATGTGGATTAGGATAAGAGCAAGTGACATCGCCTTGTTATGGGAATGACATCATGCTCCAAGGGAGAAAATTTTCTTTGAATTCTTCCGCTAAATTGACCAAAATTCTACTTGAGTCCACAAAAAGTTTTAAAATTCCATCCACCAAATATACTTGTCTATAAAAGAGAAGGGGATTAAATTAAAAAAAAAAAGCCTCAAATCTACACTTTATCTCCAAGAGGTCATTACGGCCAAATATATATATATACACACACACACACACACACACACACACACACCTATTACCCCATGGCCTCCTCCATAAATAATACACACACATACCTCTTACCCCATGGCCGAATCTACACCTCCTCCATAAATAAGAACAATAAAAAAAAATCTTCCTAAAGCTCCTAAGCTCACCTAAGAAACAGAAGTTAAGAAGCAAGGTGAACTAGGAAGTTCATCAAGGTAAACCCAAAAAAAAAAAAAAAAAAAATTGTTATGCTACGTTTGTCAACATGATTTATTATTTTTTGCCTCTCTTTAATATGCAATAATTGCAATTTATGACATCATGTAAGCATGTTGACTAAGTAAAAAAGAGGCTAATGAAACTTAATTAAGTGCCGTACCAACCTCCATGTAAGAATTTTATGACAATACAATTAAGACCTTAAGTGTAGTTGGTGGATCGCTATCTGACTCTCTATTGGTCGCGCGCACTCAGTACCAGCACATGGCCCATAAAATGAAATGATTATAACTGGAAACTCCATAACTTGTCATGCATATTAATATTTTATTGTATTGTGAGACTATAGTTTGTACTCACTAGCTTTAGCTCACCATGTTTGTGTTAATGTTGTAGGTAATTCTGATAAGAAACCTGCTACCTAATGTATCTTGGTGGACTGACTGAAGTGGCGTGAGGTAATGGAGGCCCGAGTTTTAGATGTCGCTCCACGAAATATATTTTTCACGACCACGTATATTTTCCATATTTATATAGAACTTATACTGTTTTTGTTAAATTAATATGTCATATTAATAGTCACGACTGACTTATGTTTGCCCACGAACAGAACGTCTTTTACTACGACCTGATATAGGTTAAGTAAATTATTAAAAATGTTGTATTTGTTTTTTTCTTTGTTATTTTTGCTTGAATCCTTATGAAAAAAAAAAACTCAGAATAATAATAGAAAATATAATTGAAAAGAGATCATAGGGGGACATACAAGGATATTGAAGCCGGTGACAGTACAGAGAGAGATGGCAATGGCAGTGCTAGAAAGGAAGAGCTTATCAAGATGACCAACCATCATAATGGTAATTATTTGCAAGAGATACTGAGACAAAGTCACAACCACCATTGGTCCTGCTATGTAACCCAATTGCTTCACTTCTTCAACTAAAACATCAAATCTTATTGCACCAAAAAACCCATATCTCGTGACTTCTCTCTCTCTTTCCAACAATTCCCTTTCCATGATCTCTCTGTTGTCTCTCATGGTGCTCTCTGGTGTGCCTTTATCTTTCATACTATACTCTCTTGGGTGAAAGAGGCATATGGCTTTTTCAGGGGACATTTGATAAAAAAAAAAAAAAACAAATGGCTTAAATTTTGGGGTGAGTTTGTGAATGATTAGACTCAGTAAATTATGTAAAATAATAATAGTACTAACTACTAACAACAACAATAATAATAATAATAACAACAACGACAACAATAATTGTTTCAATAATTGGGGGAGGCTCAGACTTGACTTTTGCTCTAAGAAAGTTTTCATTTTCCTTTTCTTTTTACCCCTGACGAAAGCACAGTCCCATCTGAGAGCCTTTGTCAACTTGTCCGGGGGTAAGTAATTGGAAAAAGAAACACTCTAAAGGCTGAGGAGTACTGGTTGAAACTTCACGCACGCCTGCGAGATTTTGTTAGTAAGAATGAAAAATCTATTTATTAGGGTCTTATTTAAAAAAGTAAAAAAAGAAGAAGAACATATAATTAGGAGTGTAATTCGGCAGGGTAGGTTAGGATTGGGCCAAAAAATTAGGTCGAGCCGCACGGTGCGGGTTGAGACAAAGCCCACAAACTCGTAACTTATCGGGTGACTTTAGGTAGGTTCGGGTTCGTCGGCTTGGGCCCTGGATATCGGGCCTGTGTCCAAATAAATTAGTGTATGATAAGATTCATCATGCCCGCTTTTCTTCTTTTACAACCCTGCTTTCTCTCTACAAAAGTCTGAACCATTTTTGATGATTCAGCTTGAGTGAATGTGTGACGACCCTCCTATGAGGCCGCCACTGTAACTTAAACTTTTTAACTTGTACTTACTGGGGTTTCTTAAAATATGCGGAACATTTTTTTTTTTTTTTTTATATAAGAAGGAATACTTTCATAATTTGTAACAATAATTTCAAATAAGTGAATCACTAAATTTCTTAAAGCTTTTCTTAATTTTAGTTAAGATAAAACCTTTTAGGAATATCCTTCAAATGGAATAGCATTTGAACTCTTGTTTTAAATACTCTTTAAAAGCTTTTCTAAAACTAGTCATTTCAATCGGCCATCTCATTTGACTTTAAAACGGATTTCGTGAGAAATCTTAAATTCAAGTACATCTTAAAGTCCTTCTAAAATTACTCATTTAAATCGTCATGTTTAAAATTCATTTATTTGTTGCATGTACTGTAACATTCTAAAACTTAAATACTCAAAACTAGGGTTGTTAGCTACAACCTTGGTTTTCTTAACATACATATGTACGTATACTTTTTAAACATACATACTTGAAACTTTTGAATCATATAGACATATACATGATTTTTCTTAAACTTACGGCGGAAAATAACTGCGTGAGCGGTATCCATTCCCATCTCCACCATTCGTCCACCGCTCGCCATTGCCCTTCAAGAATTGCTGATAGGTTTCTTACCTACAACATGAACATATCTGATTGAGCTTTCGCTCAGCAAGTAGGAACTATATCTCACAAAATAACTGTAAGTACACATGAATAAATATGCATGAGCTGATTATGCTTAATTATGATGTCTTATCATAATTTTATTATCTTATCTTATCTTATCTTCCTTACTGATGGGCCCGAGTGCTCGCGTACCACTTGCGCGCAATCATCGGAACGTGAGGGTTTGCAAGGTCCCCCACGACACCGTGATTATAACTTGAATGCCTCCCTTGAGTCGGAGGAAATTATTGTTATTTTCTTTTTCTCCCTTGTGGAGCTTTAACATTCCTTTGATACTTTTGAGACTTCAAGGGCTGTCTCTGCCTATTTTGCTTGTACTTAATGTTTTCCGATTATACTAGAGATCTTTTAGTATAATCATTAGAACTTGGTCTAATTGGATTTATTGGATTTTTTCATCAATGGTGTTGGATCAGAACCCCCTTTTGACTCTGCGCTGGTAATTCTACTATTATTAGTAAACAATAATTGAATAATTCCTTCATAGAGATCGAGGACATAATTCACATGGATATAGTAAGTCTCGCTTGGGCTGCTTTGATGGTAGTCTTTACCTTTTCCCTTTCACTCGTAGTATGGGGAAGAAGTGGACTCTAGAAGTACTACTAATTGAGTTTAGGAATCAAACTGTATCAATTTTTTTTATAGATCGTTCTGCAAAGACTTTTTTTTTTAATTCACTATTTCAATTTAAAAATTGAATTTCAAAAAATTTTCATTTCGAAGTTATATGTATTGGATTCTAGTGGAGTAATGTATTCTATAAATAACATATGAACTCTTTCAATCAAACAAATATTTCAATTATTCCTATGTTCGTATTTCGAAAGTACTCCAAATGGTATGAAATCTTTTCCAATCGAATTCTTCATAAATTTTCTATATCGACAATGAGTAAGAGTAAGAACGAAAGCCTTTTATATACTTTACTTTTTTTTTTACTTTTTATTTGTTATTTTTTTCCGTCTTTCCTCTTCAAAGAGAAAAGAGTTCTGTTATTACATTACGTGGATACACTTTTTTACGGGAAACAACATAGACATAGTGGTTGTACAAGGAGATACTACACATAAGAAAATATTGTCTTGGGCAAGTCACATATTGCGCACTTACCATTTGTTTTATTATTTTAAAAATTTTATTTATGCTGGTCTTTTTTTTTCATTTCATATAATGGTTGAAGGGTTAAAATTGGTGAGGTTTATTAATCCTTTTCGAAATCCGAAGAAGTTCCCATGGAACCTCTGGATACTCTGTCAACTGGTTAATCAATTACTTCTTTGTTGGAATGCTAACAAGAAGATTACTTGATTTTCTTTTATTATACCCATACCTCTTTTTCTTTCATTGATTTGATTCTTTTTTTCAATGGATATCGGAATTCATATTAAAAAAGATAAGAAATCTAGGAATTAGAATCGTAAGAGTAAGAGCTGTCTTTCGATTATTTCAAATTGATTGGAATCAACACAAATCAAATAAATCAAATAGAAATAGATGAAGCAAAGAAATAGGATTGGGACATGACACTATGTACATTCTATATGGAATTTATATCTATATAATGTCAATTGATATATATTAAATTAACCTGTATCGTCATACAGCAAACTTTATACAGTACAATAATAATACTAGTATGGTAGAAAAATCGTTTTCTACCATACTATCTAGTATCTCATAGAATACTGCTGATTCTAGTTCGATGATTTCATTTAAAACGTGAAATTTGAATCCTTTTTATTTTATTTCTTCTCTTCAATCATTGATAAAAACTAAAAAGTCACAAGTTTAATTTAAATTAATCACTTTGACTTACTGTTTTTACGTATATTATAAGTAAAAAAGCAGTAGGAATTAGAATGAACAGTGCAGTAGCAATAAATGCGAGAATATTTACTTCCATAATTTCATCCTTTCGTTTTTCTTTAATTCGCAATAACTCGGGATTTAATCCCATAGAGATAATAAATCTTTTGTCTATAAATTCAATGAGATGAATTACATCGAGATATAATCGAATCGGATCAATATCATGAATAACAATATCTGACAAATTGATTCATCGTCAAGAATTGAATAATATAACATAGGAAGATCTTTTATCCATATCGAATTCCAAAGTCAATTTTGATACAATCAAAAACCCCTTTACTTTAACTTTGATTTATATTTTTCATTCTTTTCCACCCTTTCTTTCTATAAACTAGCGCCCTCCTTGTACAATCATTTGATGAAGTATCATCTAACCGCTTTTACACTTATCATTGGTTCCAAACAAAGCCAAACAATAGAAATTAAAAAAATAAAAAGATAAAAAGAAAAGGGATTCCTGTTGGCAATGAAATTCTACTCTTTGTACTTTCTTTCACAGAACAGAAAAATGGAAGATGAATTGCTGTATTTTTTTATTGGATTTGGATCCATCGGGACTGACGGGGCTCGAACCCGCAGCTTCCGCCTTGACAGGGCGGTGCTCTGACCAATTGAACTACAATCCCAAGGAAATAACATAATAAAATAAGGTGTACAGTATACATATTCTTATGTTTTTATTCAAATACTTTCGATATGGATATGAACTTTAGCAAGAGAGGCAGTGATTACTAATAATCTTGTCGTTATTTCCAAATTAATTGGATAGTCAATCTTTCAATGAAAAAGGTCTTTTTTTTCTTTACTCTTTTCATTAGACTTTACACTTCCAGATCTTGATATGAATATAGATCATTAGCAAGATCAAAACTTGTTGGAAAAAAGAAAAATAAATAGAGTAATAGCGATAGGGATAAAGATATATCAATATCAGAGATTTTGACTGGGATCGAGCATTTCTGGAGAACAACAAATGGCTTATATCATTTCATGGTGGATCGGCGAATTATTGGGCCGAGCTGGATTTGAACCAGCGTAGACATATTGCCAACGAATTTACAGTCCGCCCCCATTAACCGCTCGGGCATCGACCCGGGAAGAATCAATCCAGGCTTAGTGATAATCCACGATCAACTTCCTTTCGTAGTACCCTACCCCCAGGGGAAGTCGAATCCCCGCTGCCTCCTTGAAAGAGAGATGTCCTGAACCGGTAGACGATGGGGGCATACTTGCCCAACCGTCATCATACTATGATCATAGTATGAATAGTTTTTTGAAATTGTCAATATAATGGAATCGTATGACTCAACGCGAAGGATCTTTCTGTCTTTCACGATTATAGAGAATTCTTTGATTATTTATATTCCTGAATCGTTCATTCTAATCGACATTTTATAATTCCATAAATAAATCTATTTTCTTTTTTTCTTTAAATTTAGAATTTAAATAATATTATTAATAATTTCAATAATTATTAATAATGTTAATATTATTTTATTTAATAAATCTTTTTTTTTTTTTCTTTTTTTTCTAAGAATTTGGTTTGGGGGGCAAGCTGAATCGCTTTATTAATGATTCGATGAAATAGTTTGGATCTAGGTTGAATTGGTAGGTACCTGTATCAATCAAATGAATTTCGTTATGATGGCAATTAGAATCTGTCTTGAAACAATTCCTTGCATTG